TTTGGAGTTATGATTAATAGGGTGTTATTTATTTAAAGGGGAAAACTTACAGATCACCGTCCCAGACAACAGCCATCTGCACAACCAGGAAGGGAGTCTAGTCTCCGGCGGAGCAGGAAGTGAAGAGAGCGAGCAGAGGAAATAGCCGCTTTTTTAAAGGGAGAGAGACCACGCCCCAATGGGCTGGTATCACAGCAGCTATTGGTTGGAGGGGCGGAAGGACCTCCCGCAACACGTAGCTTTTTTGGTTCCTGTCCTGGGACTAGCTCTTCTAGCCCAGGCTGGCCTTGAACTCACAGAGATCTGCCTGCCTCTGCCTCCCGAGTGCTGGGATTAAAGGCGTGCGCCACCACCGCCCGGCTCAGAAGTGCCAAGATGAGATGGCCATCGTGTAGCCTCTGCGCAGGCCCAGGACTGGCAGTGTCTCCTGGGCTGGAGACAGTGTTTCTACACTGTGCTGCTGCCCTGCTGCCCAGAGCTTCATCTGCAGGGCAGTACAGCCACACTTGGATATTTACTTCAATCCTACTATAGAAATCAGCTTGTCTACATTAAGATTACAATAAAAATAAAACAATTTGTTCAGTAAACTATAGTAAAAAGCTTGAAGTGTCATAAAAACTATCTTCCATACAATGGAAAGGTTGGTTCTTTCTGGGTGAAAGATGGCCCACATATACGGGGCAGCGGTGCAGGCTGTTGCTGGGTGACTCAGCGGACAAGGGTCACTTTCTTCCCCGCTTCAGGTCCTGCCAGGATGCCTAGGGCTGTTCTGTAGTCGCCTGGTCCCTGGCAGCAAGCACAAGCTCTGCGAGGGCTGGGAAGCTCTTGATGTCATTGGTCTGCAAGCCCATCTTCTGTATCTGCAAAGGTCAAAAGAATCAACTGTCATCGTGACAAGATCTGACTGGGAAAAGAGGTCCCCATTAAAACCAGGACAACCCGATTTGCCCTGCCCTCATTAAGGTAGAAAGAGTTCCCAAAGGAAGAAGGGATACATCTTCTGTTAGAACAAAGGACTGGCTTATTGAAAAACTGTATGTTTTGGGTCAAATGCTTCTCATTCTAAGAAGCTAACATGTCTGAATCTCAGCCCACCACACTAGACTCTGGCCGGGGTGACAGTCTCTTCTGTGGGCTTACAGAAAATGCTAGCAGAAAAAAGCTCTTGTGCAGAGAATAAAAAAGAAAATGATTCTTTACTGGAGAGTTTTGCTCTCCTGTTTCTCAGCACCCTTCTCAGGGTGTGCTGGGCAGACGGCACGCAGCCCTGCAACAGCAGCAGAGACCCACAGCCTCCCTTCCGTCTCTGCCCACATCTGTAGCAAGCTCTCCTGCCTGTGAGAAGACTGTAGGTTCCTTATGAAATAAACAAGAGAGCCGCTGTTTTCAGGCTGTCTGTCTCTCTTTTTTGAGATAGTCTCCCAATCCAACTCATGGCAATCCTCCTGCCTAAGCATCCTGAATGCTGGGATAACAAGCTATGTGTAAACCAAACTGGAAAGATAGCAGTTTCCTACATCTGTAAATTTGGTGGCAGAAGGCTATCACTGCACGCCCTCGTGGGAGGTCTACATGCTGCCATCAGCCATCCACCATGACTTGACGATCACATGGCAAGAGGCTGCAGGCCTAGCCACTGGCTCGGGACTCTAGGCAGCAAGGGCAGGTACGGTGACAGCTGGAGGCGATACTCTGGGTCCCTTTACCTTTTCTCTCTTCCACTTCCTGGTACGCATCCTCCTTCTTAGCAAGCTGGGCCTGACTTTTTCTATTGTTAGCTCTAGGGAGGTGACACCCAGCCTTGGCCACAGCCAGGCCCTCACAGCCAGGCTTAAGTTGCTGGTACCTGTTCTCCCAGGAACTCCACATCAAGAGCCAGCTGCAGTCGGATCTTGTCGTCATCACTCATGCCACCGCTAGAGCTCACAGGGTTGGTGGCTGGGGCTCTCCTGGCTTGTTTGAGGCGCTTCAGGCTTTCCTCCATCTTCTTCACTGAGTTCAGCACATCAGACACAGTCTCAAAGTACCTTGGGCACAGATAGTAATGAAGAAGACACTGGTAACTGACCCCTGGCCTCCCCAAGTACAAATAAATAAAAACACTAGTTCTAAACACAAGCAATGGAGGGAGGTCCTTCCCAGGTGGAGGATCCTCTGCAGCACATCCAATCAGTCCGTCTGCCTCTTAAAGAACAAACGCAGCTGGGACTTTCAGTGAGGCTCACGTAATTACCCTCACACTCTCACTATAACATAACATCGGTCTCTTTCTCGCCTGGTTAGCAAACTGGCTGTCTGGCACTGGGGCTTTATTTGCCTACAAAACCACAGGATTAGGCACTGTTGGCTCTAAACTGACCCACAAGGTGGGTGGGGGTCAGAGCCTGAACTTGAAAAAAAAAAAACAAACCAAGCCTTTACTGTAAAATGGTGATTAATAATTAAATCAATAGTAAAATAAAGCAGTATACTTCCTCCCTCTCTTGTGGTGCTGGGACAGACCTCAGGGCTGTAAGAATGCTAGGCAAACACTCTACTAAAGGGCCAAGAAGTGGTTCCACTAGCCCTGAGGTAGCTTGGGAGAGATTCAGGGTCCTGTCTGGGGCCCTCTGCTGTGATCACAGGCTACACGCACTTCCTCTTCTCACCAGAGCCATCCCCATCCAGTGGAACCAGCAGGAGGGACAGCTGAGCATGGAAGACAGGAGTGGTGCCCTTGGAATTCAGGGTTGGGGACTCACAGAACCGAGGTCAGCCCGACTGTACTGATGGTGGAAGAGGGGTGGGTGACTGTTACACCTTGCCCACTGACAGGTCTGTGATTGCTTGCTGCTATGTGGGTGAGGAAGCCATGCCATGCCCGTGCCCAGAGTGCAGAAAGGCACCTCTCCAGCAGCCAGCAGCTTACCTGTGTGTGCTCTCAGACAGAGCTTCCTGCACCCAGTGCTTCATCATCGCTGGCTTCACCTTGTGCCCATGTCCGTGCTGCAGCTGGTAAAATGGCTTCAGTGCACTCTCCACGTAAGAAGAGGCTGTGCTGGGGACCTCCTGGAGTGCCATTGTCAATAGGGGTTAGGGCCGGAAGGGAACAGAAAAAGTCATTATCATCAGTGTTCAGTTTCGTCCCTCACAGAAGGTAACCAGAGAGCCACAGAAATCACCTGGGGACAGCAGTGTGCCAAGAGGGAGCTCCCCTCCCCCGATCTGCCCTCTTCTCCAGGGTCAGGCTTGTTCTGAGGCAGGATGCCCAGGGCTGAGTCCTGACTCCTCCCACTAGGAGAGGCCCAGGGGACTTGGTTCCTTGCTCTACAGGTGAAGACTGATGTGCTGTGCATACTGTGTATACACCATGATGCCCACAGAACAGAAGGAAACGGAAGACCCCTAGCAATGTGCTCAAGCCCTCCCCCAGCCAAGTGGGGGCTTCAGGTCCAACACCAAACAGTACAACAAGATACTTTTGTTCCAAGTGATAATTCCATTGCACAACTAAATCTACTTTGTTGTTTTTTGAGTCAGAGTCTGACTTTGTAGTTCAGGATGGAATCAAACTTGTGATCCTCCTCTTAGCCTCCCAAGGACTGGGATTACAGGGTGCAAATTGCAGGGCTTTTCCAGTCCCAATATTAGCATGAAAAGGGAGGCTGGACATGGTGGCTCACGGGTGTGATCACAAGGATCCATGAGTCTGGGGGTGAATTCCAAGCTAGTCTGCTACAGACTTAAGTCCTGTTCTTAAACAACGGCGTGGGTGACGACAATAACCATGACAATAATGACGATGACGACAGCAATGATAACAGGAGGAAGGAGCCCAGTCAGGCAAATTGTGGTCAACGCAAGTCCAGCAACAAGGAATCATTTCTTGCACCCAAAAATTCTTGCAACAAATGGGAAGAGTAATGCTAAGAGGAGACAGGCCCCTGCCTAGCATGTAAACAAAAGGAAGGCCGCAGGCCACTGTTATAATTCCCGGGCTTGGGGTATTAAATAAACTGAAAGGCACTAAGTCTAAACCTTAACCACAACCATGGAAGACAAGCAGAGGGAACACCAGTCATGTGAGAGCAAGAACGAGTGAGAACGCAGAAAGACGAGCGTTCAGGTGGGAAAAGGACCTTCCCTCAGATGACTCTTCGACAGTACCTAAGAAAAGTCTCTGACACCAGCCGGCATGCGCCTCTCTTCTGTCTGATAAACACCACTTGCCTTTTCTTTCTTGGTGCTGGGGTGAACCCAGGATCTTGTGCATGCTAGTATTACTATATACCACTGAGCTCCACCTAGCCCCGAGGAGACACTAAAATAATCTTTTTCCATTGAGTTCTCAATTTATTATAGGGGGAGGTGTTTGTGTTAGGGCACACATGTGGAGGTCAGAGGACAGCTTGTATGAGTCAGGTGTCTTCTTCCAGCAGGGAGGACCCAGGGATGGAATTCAGGACTGTCAGTTTGGCAGCAAGCCCCCTCACCCTCTGAGCTAGCTATCTCAATGGCCCCTAACATATTCCTAATGTCATTCTTTCTACTGTTTTCACTGAAAGAACAAGGAAAATCAGGTATTTCCAATAACAATTTGCAGGAGTTAAGATAAATTAAAATTTTTTGTGACTATATGAAGACAAAAATAAATTTTTACATAAATAGGACTTAGAAATGTTAAATGGTTTCCTGGGACTGGAAAGAAGGATCAGCGGTTAAGAACACTTGTTGCTCTTATAGAGGACCCAGGCTTGACTCTTAGTGCCCATGTGATGACTCACAACCATCTGTAACCCCAGTTCCAGGGGACCCAATAGGCAAGCACATGGCACACATACACATCAAGTAAAATAAATAAATCTAAAATAAATATTTTAATTGCTTTCTTTTTTAAAGAAAGTACTTTTCCAGCCAGCTGTGATACTGCAGGCCTTTAACGCCAGCACTAAGATGCAGAGGCAAACCGATCTCCATGGAGCTGAGGCCACCCTGGTTTATATAGTGAGTTACAAGCCAGTCAGGACTCACACACAAAAAGGACTTTTCCTTAAGACCCAAAGTGCACAGGCCCCAGTGCACTGTGTAGGTTGTGCTGGCAGCTGGCTCCTGACCCTTCTGAGTCCCTTAACTCAGACTACCCTAAGACCTGCCTGTGGCCCACATCTCCCTGGCCCCACAGCACAAAGCTCTCTCCAGAAGTGACACTGACCTTATTGGTTCTGCGGTAAAGCCTGGGGACCTCCAGGGCACTCTTCAGATAACTGAAGCAAGACTCACTCAGGTCTTGGACAATCCTGCTGCTCAGAGCTGGCACGTGGGCAGACAAGGAACTCTGAGAGTCTTCCAAGGCCGCTGTGGACACAGGGCAGCTGGATTGAGTCACTGGTCCAGCCTAGGGTAAGCTCCATTAAAATGTGACCATGGCATTTAGAGTGCACTAATAAATCATGTCAATGTATAAAATAAGGACCTCATTTATAGAAGCTCAAGAGCTAAGAATTTACAAATGGAGTCCAGATGTTAGTTTAAACATTCTCTGCAGTCTATGGCATTTTACTTTGTTATTTCTTATTCAAAGAATCTGAGTCTGAATTAATTTTTTTTTTTTACCTGAGATAGATGAAAAATTCTTAAAGCCGATCGTTTCAAGTTTTGGCTTGACTATCTTCTGAAGTTCTGGAAGCTGAAACACACATTTTGGACCCTAGTTTCTTCTTTCAAGCAGAACAAGCAGCTTTTCACCTGCAAACTCTGACGTGATTAACCAGTGCTGAAACCTAAGCCAGAACTTGTAGGTCAAAGCTCCCATCCAAGGGGAGTTGCGCTCTGAGTACAGGAGCGCACAGCGTGGGGCCACTGAAGGCAAAGGCAAAGCAGAAACTCATTTCTCATTTTACAGCTCTCCACGACACCAAAACTGCTCATAATAAATAGACCATGTGTCCTCAGAAAAGATAATACACTTATTCAATCACTCAGAATATAAACTGTGGAAAGTAAAATCTACCTGAGGGCAAAATCTCTACATGTGTTCCATAAAGTTCTCTGAATGCTGAGAGCTAAACATGCGGTCGACAAAGAAAACAGACGGGACCTTTCAATGTATCAATTCTCAAACATTTGGGGCAGTAAACTACAAATTAAAGCCAGTTCACCACAGGCCATGACCCAGCGGAGCTGAGCTGAAGACAGAAGAGTGGAGCCTGATGGTGCTGAGTGCTCAGGCTACTCAGCAGGAAGCAAAGACAAGACACTCAGAGGCTGACTGTGGAGAGGACAAGTAGGGCAGATGTCCTTGCTGGGTGCCCGTGATCCCACAGCTTACAGACCCATGCATCTGCCAGTGTAGTGAAGCTCACCCATTCCTGAAGCCTGTCCAGGTCTGAGACCACATACAACAGCTGAGTGCTGGAAATGGACGCTGTCTGAGCTTCGGAAGGATGGTTTCCTTGGTCTTCAGAAGGGTCTCTGCTGCCAGCCAAAGGTTTTCTAGTCTCCTTGGTGCTTTCATTAGAAATGGGCCTGCCAGAAAGCTGGGAAGAGATTTCAAGGCTCACTCGCTGACTGAGACCCAGCATGTGTGCGCATGCTCAGGATCTGCACACACACTAGCTATCTGCAGAGTGTGGTGCCCATCATCAAGAGAAGGAGAGCATATCTGTCCCAGACAGGGGTTGCTCTCCTTGGAACTGCTGTTCTTGGCTGTCTCAGAAGACAGCCAGTGGGGCAGGACAGTCTGAGGAAGTCTGTGAGCAGACGGGAAGGAGAGAGAGAGGCCCTGACTTTCACAGAGCTCCCATCCCACCTAGCACCTCAGCTCAGAAATAAACCCTCACCACAGCCACAAACAAAAGCCATTTTGTCAAATTACAGAAGAACAGAGACTCGAGGTGCTCGACATTCCAGGTACACAGGGCAAAGGGGGGCAGAGTTATGACTGGACCTCTGCGGCTCCAGACAGTGGGGTGTGCCTGGCATGGTACTGCCTTCTTTGTGGTGTGCTTCTCAAAGACTGTCCCCGTTTATAGATCCTGCACCACGAGGCCTGGCTTGTGTTCTGTCACTGAGTGTGTCCCTGAGGTGGCTCTGAAGACTGAGGTCTGCAAGGACCTAAAGCTGGTGTTCAGTTCTTAGTAGGACCGACTCCTAGGGCCAAAGCTCTGGCCTTCACTGTGTGTGAAGAGTTAATACATTTGACTGGCAGAGGACGACAGGGAGATGCTAAAATGGAGGGTAACTACTTTTATTTTGGTGATCACACGACTATTTAAAATTTAAACCTATTTACTTTTATTTTGAATATTTTAAATTTTATTTCCAAGGTGCTTTAGTCTGATTTTGAGAAACAAACTTATTAGGTGGAACTTCCCAGGAACTACTCATGATCATGTGGCCAGGTACTCACAGCTGGACCTGACACCACGGGACACCTTGAATGTCCCACGGATGGGTGTTAGGCACACGCCACTCTAAGCTCCAGCAGTGCTGACTGCAGAGGGGCTGCATGTTGCTAACCTCACTGATGAACACAGAGAACCGGGCCAGAATCTGCAGGGTGAGCCTCCACAGACGGTGCGCTAACAAAGGCAGGAACATCTCATCCGACCAGCATTTCTCCAGGCTTCTCCAGGTTCTGTGAGAAGCCAACAGGCAATACGGACTTCCATCTGAAGAAAAACCACGCCCCAGGGTATATCATTAGGTTAGAGCTGCCATCAGCATACAACTCAAAGTAAAGCACAGGCCATACTGTGGCCTCCTGGCCACAGATGTTAGAACAGCACAAGATCACGTGTCTTTGGTGTGATGTGTTTGGCAATGCACCTGACCGTTTCCCAGGCATGGAGTCAGTCAGCATCAAACACTGCACCGAATATCTTTTAGTGGGTACTGTATACCACAGCAGCACACACACAATGGTATGTGGCAGCTTGCAAGGCTTAACTTTCCGTTTTTACCCTGTCTTCCCTACCTCAACTCGGCTACTATCCTCACAGAGGAGGTCAATCCCTTCTGACTATTTCTCCAGAGATGAACAGAAACAACTCCACAACCCAACAAGAGGTTTCAGGATAGACCTGGCTGTTGGAGCAGGCACTTCAGCTGCAGAACCAGGACCCTGTATGACACAGAAATACTATGTATCTCAATGGGTATCAAGAATGGGGTGTCATGAGTCTGCCATCTGGCCATAATCCCAGGAGGCCTAGGTTGTGCTCCAACTGAGTCCTTCTCAGGAAGGGACAGGAGCATGCAACCCACGTGCAGCCTTCACATGGCTGGGCTGGGACCCGAAGGAAGGTGAAATGCCAAAGTCTACAGACAGCTGACTGAATCTACAGCATTCCACACTGGATGTGTCCAACCTCAAGGGTGCCACAGAGTCTGGAGTGGACAGTGATCACACACAGGGGTACAGCCCTGACATGCCACATTCAGGTTAGAAAAGGTCAATTTGGAACTTTGTAAAGCATCCCTTTTCATCATATCTCTAAAGCAAGAAATTCAATGAACCAAAAGGCTCTTTCTGTTGCACAAAGAAAGAAGTTTCTGAGAATTCAGCCTGTGAGCAGAGCCCTTGCCCAGCATGCTAAGGGGCCGTGAGTTCAACAGCATAGAAAAAAAAGTCTTATTTTATTAATAATAATAATAAAGATGTTAAGCCAGTGTCCTTACAGCACAACTCACTGTATGGCAAGAAAAGGCAGGAGCACTCCCAGGACCAGGGTTGAGCTGGCTGGTGAGCTCAGCTAACCCCTTTAGGGACACCTGTTGTTTCCATTCTAAGGTTACCTGGGGCGTCTTCCAGCCCATCTGTGAAAGATGCTTCTAAGGATCCTGCCACTTCTCTAAACCTGGGAAAGAAGGACACGGATCAGTGTTGTCGGTTCTGCAAATGCTTTTCTTACCTAGCCTCCTTTCTTGCCCACTGCCACCCGATGTTCTCAAGGATGCCCAAGACACCTTTTTTCTTTTTACTGTGTAAGAAACAAACTCCTCGACTAAGCCACTATTCTGTAGGTTCTCTGCTATTTGCAGCTAGTCGCAAATACACATCATCCACGCCTTATTAAGATGATCCCTTAAGTTCCACTTTGTAGTAACACTTCAAGGCCACATAGTGCTATTTCTAAACCCCTCTATCAGCAACACCACTGTGAAGAAACGTCCCAAAATAAGACACAGGAAAGCTGGCTTTGCACCTGTGTTCATCACTTAAGGGATCACTTAAGGGTCTCAGTCAACGCTGGGCTCACTGAACATGCCCTTCTGCTTCTGGTGGCCTTCCCCCTGCTCCCTACATTCTGATGACAGTCAGTCTCCAGCGTCCAAACACCCATCGTCACTGAGAGAGACGGCGTTTTCCTGACTGCGGAATGAAGCCATCCTACGGCTTTGACAACTGCCTGCTTCTATGGACACGGTTTCCCAACACAGCAGCCTCTGCACATTCGTGTCCTTGCTAACTCCCTACTGACAGGGAACTCTGACTTATGCTCAAGACAGGCTCATCCAAGTGACACTTTTAGAGTCACTCCATGGAAATGAGCTGTGCAGGTGCTTACAACAGGCCGGCCTTGGCAACGCAGAGAAAAGTCACAGAGCAGAGAGAGAAGTGGAGAAGCAGCCCCCAAGGCAAGGCCTAGAGAAAGGGCTGAGGGTGGCAGCAGTTTACACCAGGCCTAGAACTCTGCCACAGCCCCACAGCATCTTTCAAAATCTACATAAAACACAGGAAAGGAGCCCAGTGTAGAGGCCTAGGGCCTGGTTCCGCTTTCCACATGGAAAGCTGAATCTAAGAGGCCAAGGTAAGGATGTGCATGGCTGGGGTAGAAGACAGCATCAAACACAGCATGATATTAGACAGGAAAACAGGCTGTTTAACAACCCGGGTAAAGGTACGGGGCCCCAAGTTATGTGAACACTTATGACAATTCACAGGAACCATGGAAAGTGCTCCCTGACAGCGAGCACTCCACAGGGCAGCGGTACATCTGCTGGTCAGCCAAGAAACACAGCTCAGAAAGAAAGGCCCAAGACAGCAGGCATAACTGCCTGAGGGAGGCCAGTGCCTTGCAAAGCTGCTGACTGCCGTGGTCCATGGTGAACCCTGAGCAGCCACGTGCGGCCTTTAGATACACTCGAGTGTGAGACTGCCCAAGGGATCTCAGTAGAAGAGGAAAGACGTCTAGACTCTAACATTTGGGTTTGGGGGAGACTCCACCTCCACTCCTCCCCGAGCATCATGATCTACAGGAAGTAAGAGCATTCTTACAACATGACACCTGGGGCAGCCTGGAGTGGAGGGTGATGCCTTCTCTCTGCTCAAAGGATCACAGCATGAGGCATAGAAAACCCATGGACATGCAGCTCTGAGAACAGGGAATAGGGAGACAGGGTGAAGATACCTAAGCCTTTATATCATGATTCCACGTCATAGAAGGAACTACAAATCATACACTCACAAGAATGTTCTGGGAGCACGTTCCAGCACTCCTCTATACATCTGTGCTGTCTGGGTCATGGATGCTTTACCTGCTCTACTGAAGCTCACAGAACAACTGCATCAGCGCAGACCCTGCGTCTCACTTTAGCAACCCTGCATTTCTTTCTGAGGAAGAGACTGTGGGAAATGAAGAGCAAGCTCAGGGCCTGGGTGACAGGGAACACCTGGCTCAGGGCGTTGTAATTTGCTGTTCAACAATAACCAGGTGCGCGGCTCTCAGAATTAGGGAGCTGCTTCTTGTTTCCAGTCAGCAGTTCTCTTCAGAGCTCGACAGCACAGTCTGGGAAGCACCTGGCCACCCGAACAAGCAAGCCTATGCGCTTCACCCAACACTCCACTCACAAGCTCCAGCAATGCTAGTCTGGGCAGGACCTGCTCCACCTGCCTCAGGAGACGCAGAAATGGCAGCCCTTCTGTTTGCTTCTTGGGGCAACAAGCTGCTGAGGACTTGTCTGAATTTCTCAGCATTCTACAGAGGACAGATCATGAGATCTGGAAGGAAAGTCTCACTGTCTTCCAGGTCAGGGAACAAAGGTCACAAAGGTCAGAGGGGAGAAAATAACCAGCTGCTCTTCAGACACTGAGCCAAGCACAGGCCCAGGACTGGGGCAGATGGTGACTGGAAAGGACAGAGTGACCGCTGTCCAGCACCTTCAGCGCTCTTCATCACAAAACCAGAGGGACTGTGGCAACGAACCCAGGCCTGGAGTCCAGCTTCCTCCAAGTCCAGTTTCTCTCCTACTACCAGAAAAACACGCTTTCTTGGTAGTTGAGCATCAATGACATATGGACATCTTCACTTTAATTCTCCCACCTTAGAAAACCACTGACTGGAGTACTAGCCCCTCCCAAAACACTTAAACGCCTTAATAATAATTTTAAAATGTTAGTTAACTAGCAAATGCTAGTCAGCTGAGTGTGATAGGCACCTATAACCCCAGGAATTGGGAGGCTGAGGCTAGAGGATCATGATTTTAAGGCCAGCCCAAGCCACATAGCAAGACTATGCCTCAAACATGAAAAAAAAAAAAAAAGACTATTTACAAGGGCAGGATGTGGTGCAGTGACTGACCTTAGCTGAAAATAAACAGGTAGGTTCCACTTATTGCTGAAGCTGTGATAGGCAGGGTGTGCTCGGAGTCGCTTCACACTGGCCTGGGATCCACACTGCCGTTCAAACCTCTGTACAAAATCCATGCTCACAGTGTATTTCTAGAACAAGAAGAAATGGTGGGATTTTCTCTGTCAGCACGCTAGACAGAGTCAGCAGCATATGCTCACAACCACAAGCAAGACAGTAAAGCTCAACACGAATCAGGCTAGCGCTACTGACCTTAGGCAGCTTGCCTCCTAACTTCCCACCCCATGAGAGTTCAGCCATGCCCAGCATGGCTCTGTGATAGTCCCCAGGACTCGTAGGGAAAAGCCCGCATGAAGCCCAGGACTCGTCTGAACTGAAGCCTCTAGACAGCTGAAAGTACTAACGGATTAAACAGGAGGTCAGGAAAAGCAAGCAGGACTAGAAATGACAACGATGGTGATTAACACTGAGCACAGGACACTCAGGCAGTTCTCACAGAACTAAAGAAAAGTTCTGTCCCAAGAAGAAAGGCCCCGAGCAAAAGCAAAGGGTCAGGGGAGGACAGAGACCCCGAGGAAGGAAAGATGACAGCTCAAGAGACGGCACATATTACACTGCAGAGTGAATGGAAATGCTTGTCCTCAGTGCAGGAAACAACAAAGTCCAGGATCCTAAGATGTTCACAAGGCACCAGAGTCAGACCCTAACAGCAACCGGAGAAGCAGGTAACCTGACTGTTACTACGCCAAAGAGCTCCATCTCTAGCAAACGACCTTCCCCAAAGAAGAGCCGGGTCATTATCTGCAGACAAATGTAAACTGAGAGCTTACTGTAAAAACAAAAAGTGTGCAATCAATGAGGCTTACTATAAAGCCTTCCAAGGGACGAGATACAGGAAGAAGAACAAACATGCTACCATCTTCAGTAAGCAACAGTTGATGGAGGAGAGGATACACCCGGAGTCGTTCATGGAATGATGACTATGAACACTAGGAAATGCCGAATTTTAAGCATATGAAACTGGAAGAGCCAGGGAGCAGCACGTCCAATTGGGGAAGAGGCCACAGAACATGAATTCACCTATAATTCTGTTAAGTGAAGAGGGGAGGAGGGAGAACACACATACTTCTTGTGACTTCAACAGCACAGAAACAATAAAAAGAGTGGAAGGAAAAACAGCCCAAAGGAGAAAATCCTCCAAAGCCTAAATTACAAAAGGGCAGGAAAGAAGGGTAAAAGGGAAGGTGGAAGAAGAAAAAAGGAAGTAAACCAGGGCAGAGTAGAACAAACACCACACCCTGAAAGCCACATAACTAAGTGCTGTTATTATGGACAGAGCACCAAAGCAAGCTCCAGAAGCAGGAGCCGGGGCAGGACGGCCACCTTCATGCTCAGTGCCATCAAAGACAACAGTGGCCCCGCCAGAAGGGCCTCCTGCCATCTTCCAGGCTTGCTACTTTTCCTCAACATTACACACCAGAAAGGGACATGTGTGTGGCACATGTGTGGGAAGTGCTGGGAGTCAGAACCCAGGTTCCCATGTTTTCCCACACCAAGAGCTCTCACCTAGCTCACACTTGACTTTTCATAGAAAGCAACTGCATGGATACTGGCTTTATGAGGGTCTTGGGGTTTTCTAAAGGAAGGTTGAAATTGTTGTATGTATCCTCTGGGCTGAATTATGAGCACAATCTAAGAGGAGAGTGTGCTCTGGACGGACAGCTCAGCACTTAAATGAGCATACTGGTATTTTTTTTTCTTTTCTCTCTCTCTCTCTCTCTCTCTCTCTCTCTCTCTCTCTCTCTCTCTCTCTCTCTCTTTTTAAAATCGGGTATGGATGATTTGCCTGAGGGTTTGTCTGTGTCACTTGCATACCTGGTGCCTATGGAGGTCAGAAGAGGCTTTGGGTTCTGGAACTGGAGTTGTAAGTCACTGTGTGGGTACTGGGAACCTAATCCACATCCTCTGGAAGAGCAGCCAGTGCTCTTAACCATTGAGCTATCCCTCCAGTCAAATGTGTACTGTTGATTCCTGGTGCTACATCATGAGGCTTACAATCACCTCTAACTCCAACTCCATGCCATCTGATGCCTTCTTCTGGATTCTGCACTCCAATGCACATACCCATCCCCTCTGCACACACACAAATAGAAATAAAATCTTAAAATGAAATGAGAGCATTCTTATTCCTCCACACTTGAAAGAAGCAGTTTGAGTTCAACAAAAACTTGCTCAGCTATCACAGGTTTTTCATTGACTATGACAATGACGATGTGACTTTCCCTAGGCCAGAGAACATTTTTTAAGAACCAAGATGACAAGGCATTACCTCATGAAAGGCGTCAGGATTCCCTGGATTGAAGAGCGAGGGGAGCTTTTCCTCTAGTCCTCGAACTATTTCTGGCCACACAGAGTTCACCAAGAAATCATAGCCAGGAACGATGGTGCCTTTCTCACTGTGGGTAAGAGCCAAGATCAGTCAGCTTACCCTACCCTCTACCTACTGCACTGTGTTTAAATAAAGGCCCTCAGCCTAAATCTTATTTTAATTGTTGTAAAGATTATACTTCGTGTCTAGATTATTTCAATATCACTTCTGGGTCTCAGTGTTACATTGACCTTGACTCCCGCCACCTCCTCCACGATCCTGTCAGGGAGGAGGCAAAGCCACTGCATAAAGTCGATACAACTCTCCCACTCACAGGCCACCTGGGAAAAAGCAGCCTAAAGGCAGGCATAGTGGCACCGGTCTGCCTTTTCAGCACTCATGAGGTTGAGACAGAAGAATTACAAATTCCAGGCCACATAAAAAGACATGGTCTCAAAACCAGCAGTTTCATATCACAGGAAAGACACTTATTGTGGGCATGCAGGTTTACTATCCTATCTGTTCCTAAAGCACTTTGCTTCCACACTAAGAATGTATTCAGTTCTAAAATTCTATGACATTTCATGCAAAGTCATGGTCACAGATCTTGAGATAAGAGGATGCGTAGTTAGTGTGTGTGTGCTTTATTAGGTATTGCCTGAACTAGGTACTAGAGTCTAATCTGCAAATTTAGCACTGAGAGAAGACCACACACTTAAGCTTACAAAGAGGTTTCTGTATGAAAGAGGTCAGCTAGCAGTGCAGAACCAGACAGTTTTAGGGGTCTCCATTGTGCCAGGAGGCTATACCCTCCCTACAAGCACTGAGAAGTCGTTCAGCATGCAGATCTGAGAGCGGGAAACCCGCTCAGGCCCTGCTGAGTTAGACAACAGAAGAATGGTCAGGGGGCAATGGTGAGAGCAAAGGGATATTTATTGAAGAACGAGAACTGACCAAAAGGAGGAGAACTAAGGACAGTCTTAGGATCAGTATAAAACTTGCCAACTTGAACACTGGACACTGGGGAGTAGCTGAATGGAAGAATGTACACTTTGCTTGTATAGGGTATATTGGTATTTCATTTATATTTTAATGAATAAGGCTTGCCTGAAGATCAGAGAATAAAACAGCCACACTGGTCAGCCATACAGAGCAGGCAGTGGTGGCACACACCTTTAATACCAGTAGCCACACTAGTTAGCTAGAGAGGCCGGGTGGTGGTGGTGCACACCTCTAATCCCAGCCCTAGAGAGGAATACAAGACAGGAGGAGACAGCTCGTAGCTCATCTCATTCTGAGCATTCCTGGAGGCAGGATCTCCCTTCTGGTCTGAGGAAGAGGTAAGAGCCAGTGGCTGCTGCTTTGCTTTTCTCATCTTCAGGGTGAACCCCAAAATCTATCTCAGGGTTTAAGACCAGCATCATAAAACCAGAAATGGCTTGTTTTGTACATGGAATGAGAGTTGGACCATGGCCGCTTTCAGTTTAAACTGGAGTTGGGGAGGAGCTCAGAAAGGAAATGGAGGGCTCCCACAGAGAAGCAGCCCCGTGCATCCAGGCTGTCGTCCAGCAGCAGGGAGGGGCAGTAGCACACTAGGCTCACAATGGACCTGCTCACTAAGCCAGCCCTGGGGAGCAGCTCGGGCTGAACCCTTGAACTTACCTCGATACAGCTCCTCCTGTGACCTCCCGGAGAAGGCGGCAGTGGTGGGGAACGAATTCCAGGAGCTTGTTATACATGAGCTGAAGGCCATTGGGATGAGACTTAACAAACTGTTCAACAATCACCTACAGTAATGGAAACTGTTTTAGAATGTCATTTAAAAGAAAACCATGAACTAGATACTACAAAAGTGGGAGGGTTAAACTTGGGCCACTCTTCTGTTCAGCTGTTTTTTGTTTTTGTCTTTCTTGAGACAGTCTTACTGTACAGCTTGACTTGAACTTACCAAGAAATCAGCTGGCCTCAAACTCACAGAGATTTGCCTGCCTCTACCTCCACAGTGCTGGGATTAAAGGCGTTCTCACCACGCCCAGGTTAGCTGTATTTTTTCTAAATAGTAAAGCCACACTGGTCACATTCAGAATCAGTTGCTATGTTCAGCTACAAAGCCCTGACTTGATGTGGGTAGGAAGGAGGCTAGGTGGCAGAGACTGGCCTGAGACTGAAGAGCCTGCTTCCTCCAGAAGAGGTCTAGATTAGAGCAAGGGGTCCACTGCAGTTCCTCATAGCCCGGCCCTGGACTCTTCTATTACTAGTAGGCTTAGTTAGCATAGGTATAAGGCAGACAAATGAAAATTTATTTAATTTTAATATTTTATTTTTAGTTGTAAGGTTGAAATTCAAAATATAACAGACACTATAAGTTTTAAAGGTCGGGGGTCATAATTCACTTAATGCTATCTTTAAATGAGAAATGTCTTTAGACTCATGGTTGAATACTTGGTTCCCAGAGGTAGAGCCTTGTGAGGAAGTACTTCACTATGGATGGGCTTACCATACTTCCTGTTCCTGCTTGCTGCTTACTGTATGTGGATAAAAATGTGACCGCCCAGCTTTCTGCTTTTGCCAACATGCTAGGCCCTCTCTGCCATTATAAGCTCTATCCCTCTAGAACTGCAAGCTAAAATAGACCCATTCTTCCCAAGTTAATTTTGATCGCGGTGTTTTACCACAGCAATAGAAAGCAAACTAATACACTCAATGTACCCACAAACTTCAAATGCTTCTTTAGCTCAGCACTGCAGACTTAGCTCAGTGAAAGGCACAGGCTGGGATCTGTAACTGAAATATCCATTTACTGGTAAATGCCAGGACAGTTTGTTCTCTTCCTCCACAGACAGTCACAGAGTGTAACAAGATAAAAACGTGGGACACTGAAAACGTACTTTAACAAATCCAAGCTTGTCCAGGATTAAAATTAATCTCTACAGTTAATGTCAAAGATGTACAGTTGCAGGCTGCAGTGCAGCCCCCCACCCCCAGATCGGACAAACACCTGCCATCACAAATGCCGGCAATTCCCAACAGAGCACACAGCTCCTACCTAACAGCTAATCCAACGGGTGGAGGACACTTGTCTAAGTGTCCCACAGTCAGAGCTTGATATGAAAGTCCTGCATCTCTGATTCCCACCTTCTGAGCCCTGACAATTCCTCCTCTTTCCTTAAGCCTTGGCCAACATCTTCCCTGAAAAGCTGTGGACACACAGTCTGTCTTCCCTTCCACACGCCTCACTGCTGTGGACTCCGCAGGTGCTGGACCAGTTGTCTGCTTGTCTATTCCACCTATAAGACCAGTGGTTATTTCCTAGTGACTTAACTGGGGCTGATTCGTCACTTTAACAGGGCTAAAATGTTTTGACCCATGCCTTGTTCCCGGGGGAAATTAGCCCCAGATAAGAAGGCATATTCAAACTGTATCGTGAGCGCCCACCAGAATGCACTTAGTTCCAGTTACCAACTGTGCAGCAGGACCCTCTCTTCCTAGCATCTCTGGTGTATCCATCTCTACCTGACACAAAGCGGAGGCAGCACAGCATGGCTCTGGAGAAGCTCCCCACACCAGAAGCACATACCTCATCAACATACGGCTTTACCAGGACTTGGCCAACCAGAGCTTCTGCATCCCTTGTCTTGTCAATCGTGGCATAGGTACGCAGGCAGTGCCGGATGATGTCCACATTTGAGGTCTGCAAACCTTCCAGCAGAAGGCCTTCTAGAGACTGCTGCAACATTGCTGTAATGCCAGCTATGCGCTGTGGGAAGCCATCAGAAAGTTCCCATCACAATGTTTTCCAACTTCAAATGGCTGTACACACGCTGGTGCCTGACCCCACTATAGGCAGTGTGTGGACATTTAAAAGGGGGACCCTGCCTGGGGCAATAGCCTATCTCCTCTCATGACCTTTCTCCAAGTAGACCCTGGCTCAGCAAAGAAGAATTTACAAAGAGTCAGTCAGAATGAGAAAATGTCATTTTCCTCTGAAGCTACAAGGTGAACTGGTTTCTGATAGACATTATAGATTTAAAGCTGGTGAAATGGCTCAGCCGTTAAGAACACTTGCTGCTCCTGAGTTCAGTTCCTAGCACCCACACTGAATGACTTACAGTCACCTCTAATTCCAGTTCCAGGAGACTTGACACCCTCTTCCGGCCTCTATGGACATCTGCAAACACACAGACATTCAGGCATGCACACAGAGACTAAATGGTTGTTTGTAAATGGAAAAAAAAGCTCAGTCTAGGGATCTGGGAAAATTCAATGTTATCTGCGCCATATGGTGTCAGATTCAGAGTGTTACTCTTACAACTTACAGTCTTTCCACAAGATCTGTAGTGAATGACACTTGGAAAATAGGAGTCCCCAAACCAAAACCCCAACCTAGGGTCAGCACCCTATAATTCACAGTCAGTGCCAGGTATGTTGCTAACCACAGACTAAGGTTCTCTACAACCCAAAGCCCAGCCCCAACCCACACTTACGGGTCTCACTTTGTCCAAAAGGGGCATGCCTTTGCTTTGCACAGCATGAAACTGAAGCTGGTTAAATTCTGTAGCAATTCTCTCCAAAACCTGTCCAGTCAAGAGAGGGCTGGGAAAGACAACAAGCAGAGAGTTTAATTGCGAGGCTGTTGACTCCCCAGAGAGCATGGCACCTGACTGGTCACGTGGGTCCAAACTGTAGTGCTCGGGCTGAGACAATGGCCACTTTGCCACAAGGTCAAAATCAATCTTTGTGCCATCTGTCTGTCTTTTCCAAATGGCATTCCCAGACCACTGCAGCTGCAGTGGACCACTGGTAAAGTGTACGTGACTGCTGCTGCTGGGTTGCATGCCTCGGACCACAGGCTCACAGGGTGCCATGTGCCCCCACCTTCTCTAAGGCCCGCTCCCAACTGCCCTCACTGTCCCTGCTTTGCCTGTGTGTCTCTCTCCTGCGATCCCTGAACCTTCTCTTCTTTACTTGCTCATCTCTCTCCTTTTGAAACACCTGAAAATTCTTAAGGCCCGCAGGTGTACATGCAAGTAGATACTGGGTAGATAATAAATAAATCTTTTTAAAAAACGTCCCTAGTATAAGGATACAGGAAAGCATCACAATGAGGTCATTGGAATGTCCGGCTCTGGACTGTCCAATCAAAATTAGTTCAGAGTGGAGGTGAAAGGCTGCCCTGAAGATGCTCCTGTCTTTAGTGTCTACAGCTCTTCTCCTGAAGCCTGGGGTTGTTTATGTCTAGTGTCTCAACACCCCTCAGCCTAACTACTCACTAATTTGCCCTTGCCTTCCCTTTGCTAGAGCAACAAGTCCTGATCTAAGCTGAGTGAAGCTCCCAGCGGTGATCCTGAGCAAAGCAGGCACAGTGTCAAAGCTGTGCTCATCACCAGGGCAGCTGGAGGCCCGCCCAGGAGCTGACCCTGATGCCAGCGACCTTACAATCTGACAGGAAAAGGACTCCATAGCTTCTGTTCCTGGTAGGTGTCTTGTCTGCAAGCCTGACAGCAGAAGGGAGGTGGAGGTCTGGGGGGGGGGGGCTTCCTGTGGTGACTTCTGTATGTCTTGTCTGCACATTTTGACGCAGAACTACACGAAACTCTCAAGGGCAGGAGAGATCAGAGGTATCCAAGATGACAGAGTAAATGTCACAAACGAGGCCCCCCCCCTTTAGCTTTTGCTTCCATTTAGCAGTGTCACCCCCTTTTCACTCCTTATGCATGTCTTGAGTAGATCTGAAACACGTTAAGTGAACTGGACAGTCAAAGGGAGGTGACAAGGAAAGAAAGGCCGTCAGTAGGATGGACAGGGGTCTGGACACCGGGCTCAAACCTGGATCCTGCAGCTGTGGGAACCACAGCTCTGGAGAATGTAGAAGTGAGGAAGGGAGGCTTGGGGATTTGAATTCCCAGAATGAGGATCATATGGCATAGTCATGCACTGAAAGGGTGGGAGGCCAGACCTAAATTTGGCAGAGAGGAGAGAGCTAGAGGAAGCAGATGCAGCCATGACACAGCACCAGCCTGCAGTTCCAGGAGCGAACACTGAGAACTGCTCTGCCAAGCGTCTAAGGAGGCACCAGGGTAACGGAGGCATGGGTTCCAGAGATGAGAAAGGGAAGACGGGAAAGAGCAAAGAGTGGATCTCTTCTGCCTTGGAGAGAGTGAGGAAAAAACAAGAGAGTCGGTTTCTCATCTGTGGGTGCATATGTCTGAAGAACGGCTGGAGAGGCTTTGGTGGAGAAGCTCGAGTGCTGCTGACAGTGCAGTGCCCCGGGAATACTACATGATAGCTTTGCAGGGTGTGTGCTAGGGTAGAGCTGGGATGAGAGGAGGGGCAATGGAGCAGGTATCCAGGAAAGAAGCTGGCAGGAGGCGTCAGGTGCTGGCTGAGGACAGCCGGAAGGACTGGCCCTTTAGCGTCCATCTCCCAAACGCTGGGATGAGAGGCAGGTGTCACCACACCTGGCTGAGTCACTTTAAAAAACAGCAAACCAGACGCAGACACTCTTTGTTTTCCAAAAATGAATCTCACTCAAAAAAGTTTTAGCCTGGATATGAAGTACTTAGTGAAAACACTCACCTGCTCGCTTCTAGGGAAGGTGCATCTTTACAACTCTGGGAGTTCAGGATTTTTTCAATTTTCTCAACTGATCGAATAACCTGTATAAGTCTCAACACACTCATCTATAAAGAGGACATCAAATAAAAACAAAGAGAAAAGCAATTATCTGGATGGTGAGAGGCCATCTTAAATATCATTACTTATCCTGAATTTCCAAGGACATAAACTCAATTCTGGCTTTCCTACAGTGAAATTTCACAATTCTATCCCAAGAGTATAGTAAATAACACAAAATAAGATAGCAGCTATCTTGCCAGCCCTTATACTTATTTTCTTAAGATACAGTTTCATGTTTTTCATTTCCAATATACTCATCTTCTTTAACTGCATAAGCACAGAACACCTACATACCCAAGTGTCAGTTCATTAAAACTGACACTTATTGCAAAAGTCCACACACGGACAAAGAGAGACACGTGGTATGGCAGGATGATGCCCAGGCTCCCCATAACACCAGGCTGTTGGCAGATACTGAGCTCCTGTCTTTCAAAGTGCAAAAGAACACCCCCGGTGCTGAGAACAAATGGCTTGCTTGCTAAGCTTCACTGTGGGGTGCTACTATTTAATCTACTTAATCTAGTGACCATTCAGGCACTTTTGTCCAATTTCGTCTTCCGTCAGGAAGTCCTGGTTGACGAACATGAGAAGCCTGGGAGGAGTGCTTGTGGCATGTAACATATCACTTTAAAATATTATTGCTGCTCCTCTCGCCTTATTCACAGACAGGCAGAGGAATGCCTAGGTACAGAGATACCAATGTCATCGTGCTCCGCTCAGCAGAGTACCCAGAGAGAAACCACATGCCCCGCAGTGCTGAAAAGGTATTAGACCGAGCCAAGGTTTGGGAGTAGACACCACAGCATACCTTTTTCTTCCTAATGTCTTCTTGCTTAGACATTCGTTCTTCTACTGCCAGAATTCCTTCACTGACAGATGACCGAAGACTCTTGAAAATAATAAAGAAAATGTTTTTACAAAAATGAAGTCTAACATTATAAAAGTGACACATTCAATTCTATTTTATAAGACTCAGTACCCAGGTCAATATTCAGACATCAACTAAGATTACAAAGCATGAGACAGAATCACTGTGAGGCACCCAAGTATGCAGAGTGATATACAAAGCCAAGGTCATGGCAGATTAAGTGCCAAAAAAGGCAGCACAGGACAGCACAGGTGACGTGGAGAAAAGACAACAAAGCCTGTGTAAGCGAGCATCTGGGATGGAAAGCTATGGTCCAGACCCTGAACATCTGCACACAAGCACAGGGAAGTCTTAGAAGGCCAAAGGAATGAGGGTAGCCCTGCTCAGGGTAGGCGAGGCACATCCTGGTACCTGCAGGCTTCCCTTTCAAGAGAAGGAGAGATGGGGGGGGGGTGTTAGCTTCTTTTTGAGGAGCCTAGAATCTACACAAGAAATATGGATAAAGCATCTTAAGAATGGAGAAACTCAGGAAACAAGAAGCGAGGAGCAGGAGGCCAGTGCAGAGGAACACCAGACACACCAGAAACTACTCGATTAGGCCAACCAGGAGATAATCAGGGATGAAGGCAATGAAAACTAGAGTAAGGTGGGTAAATCACAAAAATGCTACAGAAAAGTAAACTCACTCATTCAGTAAATGCTACAAAATATTATAACACTAGCTACCAACAAGCCAAACAATGGCATGCTTCAATCCCCGACCTCAGGATCTCAAAGGCCCACTGCAGGGCTGAGGATGGAAAAGCAGCAGTCTGCCTAAAGTGAGTAGCGTATGGCAGCAAGGTAGGCAGCAGAACAGAGGGAGGTCTGAGGTGACAAAGGAAGAAAGAACAAGCTGGCATGAGAGCTGCCGCAGGCAGAGAACAGTTGGTTGCTATTCATCTGCACAGAAAGCTGAGGATGCAGCTCCAGGAGCTCCAGGTAAAGTCACAGGGATGTGGATCCCAGCAGTGGACCACAGAATCATTCCCCTTCATTCTGTGGAGAGTGACTCAGAAGACCTTAAGAAAAACAACCAGACATCAGCATCCACACTGCTTGTGAGGTCAAAGCCCAGCTCAGGAGGTAACGCCATAGACCTCCTTACTTAAGGACACCTGACACCATTTCCCCAACACTGCACATGCAACAAAGTCCACCTGTCACATGTTCAAACATGGTCTAAGGTTTTTCAAGCTCATGGTGACACACACAGGTCACGTTGGGATGAACACCAAGTATATGACAGCTCCACAGTGCCAAAGAGCCTGGCAGTCAGGTGCCCTGAGACAGCCGAGGGATGGACCAGGAGGCAAAGGACGGAGTGGCACAGTGACCTACTGACATGACACCAAACTCCCCTGTCATAGCCAGCAGGAGTCCATCCCCAGCGGCTCCCTTACACTGCAGAGCACATCAGAGAAACATTACGTGTCTTTGTGTGAGGGTTTTCTGTCAAACTGGTATTGTCCTTCAGTTGCTCCAGGGTTTAAAGAGCTCTGTGGGCAGGTTAGGAACCTAACCACACATCATCATACAGCTGGGAATAACAGGCTGACTCCACCGTCCCCTCATCCGGTCACTTTCAAGTCATCTATACCAACTCTGTTGTCTTTACACCAGTCATGTGTAGACTGTAATAGCACATGCTAAACACAGAGAATCCTTTATCTGCGACTCTTTCAGAGACATGAACTGTAACTACTGACCATTCAAAACAACAAACCGACAGACTAGGAACTCCTGGATCCCTAACAGACAGGCGTATCATGCTTATGCTAAACTTTTTACTAAGAGTGGGGTGACTTACCAGAACCTCTTCTCGTAATTGTCCCAAAGGCACAGATAGCTGGTTGAGGGATCTGTCCATGCCGACCTAGAGGTAAAATCATGACAGCTCAGAATCATCAGTCCTATTCAGTGTAAGGATCTGTGTAACGATCCAAGTGTCCACAATCACTGTTGGCAGAGTACAGAAACGATTGTGGCTATACATGAAGACCGTGAGAATACGAAGTCAGAGCACATAAAGGACGCACAAATTACCTTGGGATGATTTGGGTTTTTTTGTGGCGCTAGGGTAGCGCAAGTGCTTCCCACTGAACCCTGAGCCCCAAGGGCGAGTTGAACAACTAAAGATTGGAATCAAAAGTGACTGTTAACTGGAAATGATGGTTTTCAACTGGCTGGTGCCAGAGTCTGATGAAGGACATCCCACCTGACTCTAACTCACGGGGAAAAGCAAATTTAAAAACAACGGAAAGGGCTGGAGAGATGGCTCAGAGGTTAAGAGCATTGCCTGCTCTTCCAAAGGTCCTGAGTTCAATTCCCAGCAAATAAATATTAAAAAAAAAAAAAAAACAACGGAAATAAAACTTTCTAAGTTTCTGATTCTACTAGAACAGCCCTCTTAGTAACTACAGCACATTCACAGTACAAACACAGTTCATTCATTTCCATGTTCCTTAAAATTTCCAGAGGTTGCACTTTCTATGTTGCTTTGGACAAACATTTAAAAGCAAAATAAAATATGAGCAAGATTGAAAAGCAACAAACGAAAAGATCTGTCTCAGGGTATTAAATCAAGCATTCCTATGCTGCTCTGAGAAGTAGCCGGCATGGTCCTCACCATTCCTGAAGGCTGGCCTCCTGGAGACCAGTGCTGTCTCCACTGCCTGCTAGCATGTGCGTGTGTGTCATGCTGGTGAGTAGGCTCCCACCGAGAGTGGCTGCCACGTGCGCTGGCGGAACAGCCTAACCATGGAGCTTCCTGGGAACCTGTCAGCACTCAACAATAATGGCCTCTTGCTGCCCCTCCCTTCACTCCAGTCAGCTAACACCCCAGACCTACTCAAGAGTAATCAAGCCACATTGGGCATGGTGATGCACACCTATAATCCAGCACCCCAGAGACAAGGACTACTGCAAGTTTGTGAGCAGCCTAGGCTACACTGCTAAATTCCAGGACAGCTAGGACGACAGATTAAGACCCTGTTTCAAAAGTCAGGCATGATAGCACACACCTTTAATCCAGCACTTGGGAGGTAGAGGCAGACGGATCTCTGGGTTGCAGGCCATCTTAGTCTATATATAGAGTGCCAATACAACTACAGCTGTAGAGAGACTCTGCGTCAAAAACACAAGACTGTCTCAGGAAAATCAAAAATACAAAGTGAATAATAAGCTCACAACATTTGAACTTAAAAAAAAGAAAAAGAAAAAAAGAAAGAAAAAAGAAAAGAAAATTCAGTTCTTTTGTGACTGACATTAATGAATGCCTGAAACAATATGACTTCTCAAATGCTGCACTTTTTTTTTTTTCCCCCGAGACAGGGTTTCTCTGTAGCTTTGGAGCCTGTCCTAGAACTAGCTCTTGTAGACCAGGCTGGCCTCGAACTCATAGAGATCCACCTGCCTCTACCTCCCGAGTGCTGGGATTAAAGGCATGCGCCACCACCGCCCAGCTAAAAGCTGAACTTTTAAGAACCAACCCAGACAAAGAAGACCTACGTGTCCACCAGCGGCGGGGACTATGGAGGGAAGCTCACCAGGTTTGTTGAGAGGTTGACAAAGTCCGCATAGTCCTTGTTGATGAGCTCCACCATGGCCGTCTTCAGCAGCTTGTAATACAGCTCCAGGTCGTCTCTCAACTCCTCCAGCTGCACACGCTTCCTGCAGTCAGACACGAAATGATCCACGTCGAAATCCTCCTGGAGAGCAGGAAAGTCAAGTTACGATAAAGACCCACAAAGCCAGTCTACCCAGAGCTCCTGCTGTGACGAGGTCCTGTCCACTCACAGAGGCGCCCAGAAGGGCTAAGGGCAGTCTCCTCATGGTCTCAGCCTACAGGGAACTTAAGTTTTGAAAATGACACGATTCACTTAAGGCTCTTCTAAAAACAGAAAAGCTTTCCTCGCTTAACTTTCTAAGCATTAAATGTCCAGTATAAAATTTTAATAGACTGAAAAAACAGCAAAGAAAGAAAAAACCCTGAACTCTTTATGCGTGTGTGTGTGTGTGTGTGATGGGACCTATGACTGACAGCACCAGCCGCCGTGATTTGAGAGGGAAAGGTGAGTATAATGGCTGATGCTGTCAATTGGCAGGATGAAGAATCACTTTGGAGACAAAGACTGGGAATGATGTCTGGGAGCGGTTTCGAGCTCAACAATAGTATTCATCTCTCCCTTCTAACCACAGGGGTGAAGTGACCAAGCATCGACCTTAAGTTCTGCCACCTTTTCCTTCTGCTATGACAGACCGACTGTAACTCCTCACACTGTAAGCTGGAATAGACCCTTCCTCAAGTTGCTTTTTGTCAGGTATTTGGTCATAGCAATGTGAAAATACAGAGAGCCGCCAATGACAACTCTCCAGCCAGAAGCTGTGTGTGATGGGGATAACTGAGGTAGAGAAAACAGCAGAAAACTAGAACCTGGTGTGCTGGTTTGAATGAAAATGGCCCCGTATGGCTGGGCAGTGGTGGCACACGTCTTTAATCCCAACACTCGGGAGGCAGAGACAGGCGGATCTCTGTGAGTTCGAGGCCAGTCTGGTCTACAGGAGCTAGGTGCAGGCCAGGCTCCAAAACTACTGAGAAACCCTGTCTGGAAAAGAAAGAAAGAAAGAAAGAAAGAAAGAAAGAAAGAAAGAAAGAAAGAAAGAAAGAAAGAAAGAAGGAAGGAAGGAAGGAAGGAAGGAAGGAAGNAAAGAAAGAAAGAAAGAAAGAAGGAAGGAAGGAAGGAAGGAAGGAAGGAAGGAAGGAAGGAAGGAAGGAAGGAAGGAAGGAAGGAAGGAAGGAAAAAAGAAAGAAAATGGCCCCATAGATCCATAGGGAGTGGCACTATTTGCGGGTGTGGTCTTGTTGCAACAGGTGTGACCTTGTTGGAGGAAGTGAGATCTCAGGCCTAGTACACACTCCTTTTGCTGCCTGTGGATCAAGATGCAGGACTCTCAGCAGCTTTTGCAGCACCATGTCTGCCTGCATGCCATGTTCCACCACGATAATGAACTAAATAAACTTCTGAAACTGTAAGTGACCCCAAATTAAATGTTTTCCTTTATAAGAGTTGCTGTGGTCATGGTGTCTCTTCACAGCAACAGGAACCCTAACTAAGACACCAGATAAGAACTGTCATCAGAGAGACTTCACTAAGCAAGTGGAAACCGATGCAGAGAGCCACAGCCATGCAGCAGACAGAGCTCAGGGAATCCTGCTGAAGAGAAGGAAGAAGAATTGTAGGAGCCAAAGTGGTTAAGGACATCACAAGAAAAACTCACAGAATTAACTAACCTGGGCTCACAGGAGCTCAGAGACTTAACCGACAGCCAGGGAGCTGCATGGGACTGAACAGGCCCTCTGCACATACGTTACACTAGTGTAGCTTGTCTTCTTGTGGGTTTTCTAAGAGTGGGTGCAGGGGCTACTCTGATCCTTTTACTGGCTTTTAGGACCCTATTTCTCATGCTATGTTGCCTTGGCCAGTCTTAATATCAAGTCACTTAGTCTTTCTGCAACTTGGTATGTCATGTTTTGTCATCCATGGGAGGCCTGTACTTTTTTGAATAGAAATGAAGGAGTAGATGGGGCAAGGGAGGTAAAAGGGAGGTCAGAGGAGGGCGGAAAAACAGTGGTCAGGATGTAAAATCCAGGAAGAGGAGGAGGGGAGGGACACCAGGTAAGTCTGAAAGCCACCACGGAACAAGCACAGTTTCTGAGCCCACACTCAACAGCCAAACCACACCTCTCCTTCAAGTCCAGAGCTGTAGCTGGCACACAGCAGGTGGTCAATGGGTGCCTGTGGGTGAGTAGTCAATGGCTACCATTGCATTAGCTAGCAGGCTGCCGCCAGGGCAATCTAACAACAGTTTGCAAACAAATGACTGTAGTTCACGGAGTCTTAACTCCAACATGTACCTGACATCCTAACCTTGTAAAAGACCTATGCCCCTGCAAAATACGCTGTGTAAGATACTCATGCATACATATAATCTATAGCAGGCACCCTTGTGCCACCAAACCAACTCATAAAATGTTTCTTTAAAGGAAACACAAAAAACACAGGACCTTAGCTTTTGGCTCCACCTAGAAAAACTAACAGTACACAGAACAGCTCTTCTATGTAGTTTCCTCTACGACTGAACTGGTCACAATTTTTTTTTTTTTCTTTTCTCTTTTCTTTTTTCAAGACGGGGTTTCTCTGTAGCTTTAGAGCCTGTCCTGGAACTAGCTCTTGTTGACCAGGCTGGTCTCGAACTCACAGAGATCCACCTGCTTCTGCCTCGCTGAGATTAAAGGCCACCACCACCGCTTGGCCTGAACTGGTCACATTAACAGAACTACAAATTGCTTGGCACACTCACAGGTTTGATAGCATGGAACAGCATGGAGGTGCCAGCAGCCCAGCCGTTCATTCCCCGGTCTGCTGTATGTGTTTCACAACCTGCATTTGGTGGCATCTTCTTTCTGATGCTGCATTTAACAGAGGCCTCAGGTCAGTGTGAGAGAGACACAGCAGGTAGTGCGGCGGAAAGGCTGCTGGCACTAGGCATGCAGGAGGCCTGCGTTAAGAAGTGAACACATCTAAGTTTTCTCACCTAAGGTCAAAATAGGCCATGTTGCCCTAGTGAGCTTTCTTCCTCCAGACAGCTATCCCCACCATGTACCTCTGGCTCTTTCTATCATCTTTTTGGGGTCACTCTTGGTCATGGGATGGGACAGGGGCTTTCTGAAGCATTCTCTCCAGCATCCTATTTGAACGCATTTACCGGGGCGGGTGAGACGGCAGTGCTTACTGCTCTTGTAGCGCACCAGAGTTTGCCTCCCAGCACCCACATGGCAGCTCACAAGCACCTGTAACTCTTAACTCCAGGGAATCCAACGGTCTTCTGGCCTCTGGGACTTCTGCACATACTGTGCACATAAACTCGGGAAGGCAAGCACACACAGACATAAAATAATACATCTCCAAATTACACTTCCTGCAGTGGTTCGGCAACGTCACTACAGAAGGGTGCTTCATTCCTGGTTCTAGACACGCCTCTCACACATGAAAAAGTAAAGACACATATAAATTAAAACCAAAAACTCTGAGATTTGGTCATGTTAACTGGATGCAAATACCAAAACAGAGCTAGGCCAATTAAGTCAGAGGGAAAAATTACCACGTAAGGAGAGTCACGAGCACACACGCGCGCACACACACTATCCTGTACGACTTAAACTCATTAGCTCAATATTTCAGGTGCCAAAGAGACAAAATTTCTAAATCCCTCACGGTGGAAACAGCTTTGAAGTGGTCCCTCAGATCTCAACTTTGACACATTAAACGGCACAACCTGTCGGCTCTCCGTTCTCGGGGTGGGGATTGGGGAGGGGGGAGGGACTGGAAACAGGAGGATCAAGACCTGCCTGGACTACAACTCAAAACCCTGCCTCCAGAAAGAAATTGCGTGTAAACATGTTTTGGGGTCGTTTAAATGACAGCGGTGGAGGGATACAACTAACAGGCTGAAATTCCATCAGCGAAGTGTTTTCCTTTTGGACTGGTAGGGTGACTCCTTCATGTCAGAGTGAAGTTCAGCCCGATCGGCCCCGTTCCCTGCGACTCGCCGGAGCGCCTGGGAATCGCAGGGCCTTAGCGTGGGGTGTCCTCGGCGGCAGCCGCCCCGCCGGGTGTCCCTCACCTTCATGAATTCGTCCTTATCGAAGCACAGAGTGTCCGGCCCGGTGGGCAGGTTCATCCTGTGTCTCTCCATCACGCCGGCCTCAGCTCCCAGGCTCCGATGGCACTGAGGACGCAGGCGACACCACTGGGGACGCGGCAGTCCAGCCCCGGCACGGCGCTGGCCCCGCTTCCGCCAGCAGCGATGCACGGCAGCCAATAGGCGGGCGGCGCGGGCGGCTGCGCATAGTGAACCAGGGGGAGGCGCGCGCAGCCGGGCGCTACTGCCTCCGGTAGCCAAGCGCGGTACTGCAGCGTCACGCCCACGCCGCAGGCTGGAGACACCAGAGCATCCTTGTTCTTTTTCCTCTAGAGGTGAGAGAGTCCAGAGCTGCGTCCCTCCGAGAGAAACGCCACCGCTCCTAAATACGGTCCTTAAAAACCGGTCAGAGGTCCAAAGCTACAGAGAAACCCTGTCTCGAAAAAACAAAAACAAAAAACGGTCAGAGGAGCTGGACTGTGGTGGCGCACGCATTCGGAAGGCAGAGGCTGTGGTGGATCTCTGTGAGTTTGAGACCTTCTGGTCTACAGAACTAATTCCAGGACAGCCAGGGATACACAAAAAACCTGTCTTAGAGGAAATTGCTATCCCTATGCATTTCAGGTTACCCCAAACATGAAACCATTTCTCTGACTGAATGTGGGGGTAAAATTTAGAGACCCTATTGCCGGAGCCTGCCCTGAATAGGTAAGGCTTCTTAAAGTGACTCTGCGAAGTGTCTAGAGAAGACGTGAGTGGGAAAAGATACAAGTCGACTGCACCCTATGTTCCTAACATGCTTGTGTGTGTGTGCGTGTGTGTGACAAATTTTTGTTTTCTTTTTACCATCTTTCTCTTTCCAGGAAGTCTTCCTCCCACACAAGTCTAAGCAACGTGAATTGGCCACTCTCCAGTAACTCCAGCCTTTCCCCGGGTTCTCTTTACCCGGGACACAACCACCATGACTGTCATTGGGAGAATTTGCTAGAACACTCCCCAGACATCCTATTTATCAATTCCTCGGGTGAAAGAGCAAACAAACAAAACCATTCTTGCCTACTCAAAACATCATCCTCGTACCTAATAATATGAATGGTTCTCTGCTAACATTGGACTGAGAGATTTGGCCTTCAGCCCCTGACGAGAATTCCAGAGTGGCAACTTGGAAGCACTCAATGAGGGGCCCAGGTTCTGGCAGAGATAGAAACACAGATACCTGGGAAACCTGTCTGGTCCCTAGAAGCTTGGAGCTAGAACTTGCCATTCCCTTCCGACGCTGTTCTCCACCCTTGATGGAAGAAAGGAACCTGCACACGTACGGCCTAGGGTGTTAATCATAGGGCTGCTGAGGGATTCACTGGTACGGGAGAAGATCCCAGGGTCCCGGTGTCTATTCACTTCCCAGGATTTGGTAAGGAGCAGCCTGGAGTCTGTCGTATGGACGCCGTTCTCTCCCAACACACCCCAGGCAGGGCAGCAGATCAGCTTTGGTGCTAGCCAAGCCCTCCATGGCAGTGGGAGAGGGTGGAGTCTAGACCTGCCCAGGGAGCGACACCTGCTGGCATGGCCGTTTTCTGCTGTGTTACACATTGCAAATGACAGCTCCTCAGGGGTCAGTGAGCAACCTCTCTCTAGAGCAGGCTGCACTGGAGACAGACCTGCTGTTTGTCCGCATTCCTCTTGCTCGTGTGTGCAGCCGTTTGGGGGTCATGCCAGGGTCATGCCAGCTTCTCACTGTCCGGGGTCTGTGCTTTAGACAAGCTCGTACCTCCTGCTTCACATTCAAGCACATGGTTAAATTCTTCACTGTCAACTTGACTGGATTTGGAATCTCCGACTAGACACACTCCAGCCATGTTTGTGATGGTGTTCCCAGAGACGTTTAACTGAGGAAGGAAGACCCGCCCTGAATGTGAGCCGCAGGTTCCTCAGGCTAGGGTCCCAAACTGACTAGAAGGGAGAAGGCAAGGGCATTTATCTCTCTCTGCTTCCTGACGGTGGATGCCATGCGACCATCTGCCTGTGCTCCAGCCTCCATGTGGACCCTGCCAAGGCGATCTGGATGCTCAAGCTTCCTTCTTTAGTTACTTAGTATCACAGCGCAAGGAAATTAATGACTACGTGTACCATGTCTGGTAATTATGCCCCTGCCACGGTACTTAAGGAAGAGTAACTAGGACGTGACTGTGAACGGAGTATTGCCCGACTCTGTAAGGGGTCAGCATGCCTAGTTTGCTGTCGCATCTCTGAGCTGCATCTTTCCTCGGGAGACTTTGGCCGATGATTGTTCTGTCTTGTTAAGTCTCGCGAGCCTGTTCTTTGACCTCTTCCTTTCTTACAAAGCACTCACCTGCTGCCTTGTCTCTAAGTAAGCAGTCACCCTGCTTCGACTTGCCATCTCTGGAAGATTCTTCGTTCCCCACTTCCAGCGGCATGGTGACAAGCCCCTGTTTCTCTCTTCCCACTCTGCCCTATTTATAGGTTTCCCGGTTTTGGCAGGTTTGCAACCGAACACTCAAAAATTGCAGGGAGAAATAGCACACTCGGGAAACTCATGTGGGCATTTTCTTTAGGCATTGCCGCCCGGCACAAGAGGCCTGGCTATTGCTGGTGATGAGGGGTTTCCAGTTTTCTAGAGATTGTACACCTACCCCGAAGACCGAGTGTATAGCTCTGACCTCAATGTCCCTAGAGGAAAACAGGCTAAATGGGGTCCCTAGAGGGAGGAAGGATCACCCTCAGCTCCCAGGCCTATGAAGAAGACTAGGGAAGCTCATGAGGATGCATTGATCAATATTTTAAGTCTTTCTTTGGTCCTACCAGGTCTCCCCCCATTACGGCACTGGGAAGTGAACTCAAGGCCCTCATGAATTTGTGTGCCCTGTCACTAAACTGTATCTATAGCTTCTATCTTATCTTTACTTTTTAAAACAGAACTTTATTTTGAATTATTCGTGTGTGTGTGTGTGTGTGTGTGTGTGTGTGTGTATGTGTACATGAGTATAGGTACCCACTGAGGCTAGAGGGAGGCTAGAGGCATCAGTTTCTTTTGGAGCTGGAGTTGCAGGTAGTTGTGAGCTGTCTGACACGGGCATTAGGAACTGAACTCAGGTCCTCCGCAAGAGTTGTATGCCTTCTGACTATTGATTGGTCCCTCCAACTCCTCCAACCCCCTTTTACTTTTTGTTTTGAGATAAAGTTTCACTAAGTTCCCAAGACTGACCTTGAACTTTTGATCTTCCTGGCCCAGGCTCTCAAGTAAGCCGGGGTTACAGGCTCTTCTCATTAGACGTGGTTGACCCTGAATGATTCTCCAGTAACTCCTGCATCTCTCTCTGCCCTCCTTTACTCCCCGGGCAGCTGCTAAAATGCATATCTAGGCTGTGGCTGCTAAGCTGGGCTATCCCCGAAGCTCCCCGAAGAACCCTGTGCCTACATAAATTTAAGTGAGTCCCATTTCAGAGCTTCTGATTCTGTGTATGGCTGTCAGAACGTGTGGTGGTCCACGCCTGTCACTCCGGTACTTGGAGGATAAGGCAGGAGAACAAGGAGGTCTAGGTTGGCTTGAGTTACACAGTGGATAGTCAGTGCTGACTGCAGAGGAAGATCTTGTCTTGAAAGAAGGAAGGAAGGAAGAAAAGGAAGGAAGAAAAGAAAGAAGGAAAGAAAGAAAGAAATCAGAAAACACAAAGTGATTTGCCAGATAACAAGAGTGACCATGTGCTTCTCCCACTCACCAGAATCACCAGCTTCGCTGCTCCTGCCTGGGGCTGATACCAAAGGATGAATTGAGGCTGCATTTCAGGTAAGCGCCTCTAGAGGACGGTGTTGGTACTGGTAGCCCTTAATTCTGTGGTTCTGATTTGTTCAAGTTGAAAGTTACTAATCAGTTTGGGGAAGAAGAAGAAAAAAAAGTTTGGGGGCAAATGTTGAAATGCTCCGATTTGAGTCAGAGGCAGTAATAGCCTTTTAAGTTAAGATAAATTTTGGGTTTTTTATTCTGTTTTGTTTTTTTAGGATTACCAAGTTATTGTATTTTTCAGATACAATAGAGAAAACTCAGAAATAGGAATTTTGATTTATGTTTTTCAGAGTCAGTGTGGTATAGTAAACGAAATAATCGAAATACAGATTGTTAGTGTCTTTTAAAAATCAAAGTATATTAGGAGTGAAGTTAATTTTTTCTTATATCATCTTGCTAAAATAATATTTTCACTCTTGTGTTAATACTGACTGTCAACTTGACAGGATCTAGAACCACCTAGGAGACAAAGCCCTGGGCATGGAGGGAGTTTCTAGATTGGGTTAGCTGGAGTGGGAAAGCCCACCCCGAATGTGGTGACACCATCCCGTGGGCTGAAACCCTAGACTGAATAAAAAATAGAAAGTGAGGTGGGCACCAAGAGTCGTCTCTCTGCTTCCTGACTGTGAATGCCATGTGACCAGCTGCCTCGCATTCCTGTTGCCATGCCTACCCTCACGATGCTCTACTATGCCTCAGAATAGAAACTCTTCCTCTGTTAGGTTGCTTTTACCAGGTGTTTTGTTACAACAACGGGACAAGCAGCTAACACACTTCTTTCAGTGAGTGGCCGCTCGTCCACCTTGTGATGAAAGGCACACCCTTGGAATGACTTCTTCCTTCCTCTGTCCCTGTGCCTGGCCTGTCAGTGAATCTTGTTTATTTTACTACCCAGCAGGATCCAGCTTTGTGGTTGCCGATGAGGACTGAACCCAAGGCCTGAGCATGGCGGGTGAATGCTTTACCATTGAGCTTTCGCCTCCCCCAAAACTTGACTTTTTTTTAAACCCAGGCTTCTGTCTGCTGTTGGACTACAACAGTGTTGTCTAACATCACCAATGAGCATGATGTGGCCAAATCCAGGCTTGAGTCCAACCCCAAATCGTCTGTCCTGAGGATAGGGGACAAGACGTCCGGACAAGGATGCCCTGATATTCTGTGCCCCTGTTCTTCCTATTGCAGGAGGGGAGTTGCACACCGACAACGTGAATAGCTCTGCCTGTGCACACTTCTGTCTGTCCCGAGCCGCCTTGGAAGTGTGTGAATCCGTGTATACACAAAGTAAGAGGCAATACTTAGGGCAAAGTGCAGGGGACA